TGCTCGGTTAATTAAAAATAAAAAATACCCCGAAAATTACAGAAACATCGGCAACGAGATGCTGTTTTTAAACACCGCGGAAAAATCACGCACTCTGCGACCATCTCGGTTACCTTAATCGGAAACCCCCTTGTAGCTAGCATGCATCTGTGGCGATGTCGCAAAGTACGTTGTACGGCCGTGCGGCGACCTCTGGTACTATGGCACTCTATGAATGAGGTATTTCCAGAGGTCAGGGTTCGTTTTAATTTTTATCGACCCGTCTCGTCTGCTCGTAGTTGAATGAAACTTGTTTCGATTTACAATAGTTATCTTCCATTTCGACTTTTTCTCACCGGCGTTTGAGCGATTGAGTACAAAAACTGCGAATAGACGTTGTGTAACAAAATATTACGGCCCATTTCAACCTGGCCGTCTAACTTCGCACGGTCCATTTCACCGGAGATCGTGAAAAACTGCGTCATACAAAGTATTTTTTAAAGGTTTGATGAAAAGGTAAATTTAGACACAACCCATCCAATGGCGATCGCTATGTTTATATAACTATATGAATATTTCATCGGCTTTACATATGAAATGAATTTACATATGAAAATTTACTTGTATTTCAAAAATAGATTTGCATTTGTAATAAAACTACATTTTTAGAAATCAATGTTTACGATAATGATAAAAAGTAGGACCGATGTATTATTATAATAATAATTATACTTTTAACACAGTTTCATATTTTACAACGATTTTTATTTTGTACTGCAAGCTGAAGTAAAAAAAAACGCGTAAAAGGGGTGTTATTTAGTTATTTGACGCGTATACGCGTGTACCGTGTTAGGGTGATAAAGTGTGAAAAAAGGAAACTCATGAATTCATTTTATCTCAACTTTGGAAACAGTATGATTTTAGTATGTATATAGGGTATCTATTTTAAGTTTCTGCACTTGAAAAGGGTATAATTTCACAAAATAAGTACGTATTTAGAGACTTTTTCGAAAAGCTATACTTCAGCATAGGTACCAGGTCTGACTTGCAGTAACCCCCCCCCCCGGGGGTGAACAATGGCGTTCCTACGGCAAGACTATTGCATACCTATTGATATTGTAATTAAAATTTCGTCTGCGAATTTTTTAATCGTGATTTGCGATTCGTTGGTTCGTGGCTCCCTCCAGTTCCCTCCATTGAGATTATAAGCGGGGAGAACTTTGACATTTTCCGAACCTGTCCACATAGTGAAATACGCAGACTGCCAGGCTCCACCACTGTTATTACCACACGTCATATCCCATGGCATGTTTAGCCATGTCCTGGACAGAGTATCACGTGAGAAATACCAGCAATTCATTAATACATTGTTATTGTCTTATAAAAATAGATGACCTCGTTTAAAATGGCACGGTCATATTAGATTAATGTCACCAACGCATAGAACCGACACATCAAACGCACGCAATCAAACTATCATCGGTATTTCAATACTAACATATATTCTATTCAGGCTGTTAAGAAGACTTGACCTTTGACCTAAACGTATATTATATATCGGTACAAAGTGCATGTCGTGGCGTTCACAAAGTCGGAACTACATCACGTTCAAGGAAGTTAAGGCGCCAAGGAACAGCGTAGCCAACTGGAAAAGCGATTATGACGTTGATTTAACACCAGTGGACACTTGCTAGCGTACTGGGTTATACACATGGACACAAATGAACTGAATAAAACAAATAAATTCAACAGAATAATAATCATAATACTTACATTAACATGACATTGACGTGATCAATTCAGCTGCATTGGTTGTTTGACACAAAGTATGTACGTCAAAATAATTGAACTTCTTGACACCTGACGGGGCAAAGTTATTTTTAATTCACTCGTCCCGTATATTTTCACGCGCATGCGCAATTCGGCAATGATCGTTCGGTTAAACCATTCCAAAACAGGAGGAAACGGGCCATAACGTCGTTCTCCGTAAGTTTGTGACGTTGAAGCTTCACTTACTAGATGAAAATTACAATGAAATACAGACTATGGTTGGTATTCGTCCTAGGTAACTATTCAATATAGCGAGACGTTTTGAGCAGCGGCTTTTTAAACGTAACCTCGAGCTCGCGCCCGGGCATCGGGTGGGCATCCGGGTATTTTCACCGCCTGGCAACCATTACGGTGAAAACAAAGGCCAATAACTTTGAAAAAAAATGTACTTTGGGATGATTGTTGAGCCTCCTCTGAACAGTGTAACAAGATTACCCCTACATGTGCGACATGTATAAATTTGGTTGTTTAGGATTACTTCAAAGTTGGGTGTGTGCTATTTCC